TACAAATAATCCATCCAAACGACCCTCAGTAAACTGTTGCCAAACGAGTTATTTGTAAAATTGCTCGAATTATCCTAAAAATTGAATCATTAAAGATTAACTATCAAATTTAGTAAAATTATTGTGACTTCAATCATAACTTACTCAATAACATATATCCTATACACTTAGCCTTACCCTCAATCGACAATATTAAGTTAGTATATGTTGTTGATTGTATACCCTAAACCATCAATACAGTATACACTAACCACATACCCTATACCCCATACCCTAACCATATGTCATTAAGTTGTGATTTTGCTAGTATAGTTAATTTAAAAGTGAAAGCAATGTTGTTAGGCTAAACCTGAAAGCAATGTTGTTAGAACCGAACCGGAGCATGACCCGGTAATGCGAACGGCTCGCACTTTAATGGTCCAACCGGCATTAGACTGTTTAAAAACCGTTAGAGAATCGGTACCTAATAAACGTTATCAGTATAAATAGTGGACATTTCTTAATCAGAGCTCATCTCTTTCCTTCGAAATTGTGAAATGGAAATAAGGATTCAATTTGAGAGCCCGACGTTTTTTGTTTTTTTCAATTTTCAATTTTCTACAATTTTTTTAATTAAATTTAGTGGTTGAATGGCAAAAACCGGACGAGCGGCTCGAACGGCTAACCGCCTCAGCCGCTCGCCAACCGCTACATAAAACCGGAGCGGCTTTTAGACTGTTCTGAGCCGATTTTGTGACCGGGTGGCGATTTCACCGGTCGGGCCGAGCAGCTCGGCTCGGCTTTAATAACATTGCTTGAAAGGTATTATTTAGTGGGTTTGTGTTTTTTTTTCTGCGTGGGCCAAGAAATGATTAGAGAAATTAGTGGGTTTGCCGAGACTATTATGTGATTCAATTTAATGGCAATTTTCAACGCAAAGTAAATCTTTGTTCTTTTTTTTTTTGGGTAGAAAAAATCTTTGTTCTTTGTGGGAAAGATGGAAAAATAATAGGGCAAGCCACAAATATGTTATCTACATACAATATTTATATAGTAAAATATATTATATAGTATTATTTGTGCCAATCGGGCGGGTTCGGGTTGGGTTAATCGGGTTAGGGTTAGTCGGGTTGCGGGTCAAGTGGGTTGCGGGTCAATCAGGTTCGAGTCAAGCGGGTTGCGGGTCAATCAGGTTGCGGGTTAATCGAGTTACGGATCAATTGTGTTGCGGGTCGGGCGGGTTGCAGGTCTTTGACTTTTAGTCAAATCGGGTTGCGGGCGGGTTACGGATCGGGTTGGTTGGTCGGGTCATGTTTTGACACCTATTTGTACCCTAACCACGTATTATAAACATAAATTAAAAAGGGATCTCCTGTCGTTAAAGACTTCAAATGACTTCAAATGAACATATGTTAATAAAAAACTTAGAACCGTCAAACCATCAATATCTTATACCCTAACCATATACACCCTAAACCATATGTACCTTATACCTTATATTCTAACCATATACTTTATATCCTAAACAACAAACCGTCAAAGATTATTTATCAAGTTTAGTATAAATTGTTGTAAATAATGGTTAATTTATTTATTAGCCCATAAAAAATTACATACGTATATACATATTAGCTTTCAAAGCATATAAGAATAATTTTAACTAGTCATGCCCTCCATATAAAAGTTAAAGATTCATATTTCAAAAGTTAAAATTATGAAAAACCAAAAAATTGAAAACACCAAATTTGTTTCCTTCTTTCTTTTCACAAAAATACTAAAATTTCCCTCCTTCTTTCTCCTTCCATACATTAGAAAAACTCGATTTTTCCTACTCTTTCTCTTCCATAAAATTGAAGAACCAAATTACCCTCTTCTTTCCTTCTACAAAAAGTTGAAAAGTCAAAAGTTTCCCTCCTTATTTCTCTTTCATAATCAAAAGAATCAAACTTTCCCACTTCTTTCTCTTCCCACATATCAAAACCACCAAAATTCCCACTTGTTTCTTTTCTAAAAAATTCAAAGAACCAAATTTCCCTCTTCTTTCTCTTCCCAAAAAATTGAATACACCAAAATTTCCCTCTTCTCTTAAAAACATCAAATTACCAAATACATTACTTTACTTTATTTAATTGATAATTTTATTGAATAGTTAAATTAACCAAAATTTTAATTTATATATTATATTAATATTGTCATGATCTCAAGTGACCTTCATGTTTCAATTTTTGTTTTTGTAATTTTCTTAAAATACGTAATATCAAGTGAGTTTCATATTTTTAAAATTTCTTATACGAAATGAAAAAATAATTTTACTTAAGTTTAGAATGAAAAACTTTATTTTGAAAAACTATGTATTGTATATTTTTCTAATTATTCAAGTGGATTAGATGAAATTCGGGTTGAGTCGGTCGGGTTACGGGTTAGTCGGGTTCGGGTCAATCGGGTTCGGGTTAATCGGGTTGCGGGTCAGTCGGGTTGCGGGTCAATCGGGTTCGGGTTAATCGGGTTGCGGGTTAATCGGGTTGCGGGTTAGTTGGGTTGCGGGTCAATTGGGTTGCGAGTCGGGCGGGTTACGGGTTGTTGACTTTTAGTCAATTCGGGTTGCGGTCGGGTTGCGGGTCTGATTGATCGGGCGGGTTAATCGGGTCGGGCTATGTTTTGACACCTATAATTAAAACCCAGACTATTAGAAGAAGCGATCATGTTAACAAGTCCTTGTTCTTTCTGTGGCATCCCCTGCGTACCCAAAACAGAAGTAATTTCCTCACCCATGGCACCCTGGCCTAATTCACTATGATAACTATTGAATTCAGCACGCTCAATTGTTTCTTTGGCTTTTCTAATGCCGAGTCTCCAATAATCCGCAATCTCGCAGTGTTTCTTGATTTGACCAGCAATAAGAAAATAAAATGTTGAAGGCCGGCACGAGCACGAATAATTCATGGCCGTGCCGGGCCTAAACTTCATGAGCACGACACGGTCTGTAAGTGGGTCATGTCAGACAATATTTTCGAGACCTTATTGCGTATAAGTATGTAAATGGAACGAAATAAATATTTATTTGATAGAAATAAATATAAAAAGAATTATAGGTTCAAATATTACAACATACAAGCACAAAAATAATTATTTTTTGTCATTTGAAGTGATCATAAAGATATATGTATAATTACTATCTTAAGTAAAAACGAATGAAGAATTAAACAAAACTAAATCACACCTCGTTATACTTCAAATTTTCTTCCCCCTTTTTTGTTACATTTCTCAAACATCATTTGTTAATAATAACATTCTTTATCCAATTTTCTCCTTTTTTTTCATTGTCTCTTTTATTTTCTTCCTTTTCATTGAGCACAAATATGAATGTGGCACTAGCACGACACTATTCAAACTAGTGAAAGTAACAAATGGACTCGCGCGACACGAAATAAATGGGCACGAAGCATGCTTTAGCCGTGCTGGCCCAACGCCCGCGTACAGGTAGAACGGGGTTGAGAAATAACGCGAATGCATTATTTGAGAATAATAGGGGTACCCCCAATTATTTAGAACTAGTTTTTACCCGACTCGTTAGTCGGAAGAATTTTTTGTTTTATTTTGGGTTTAAACCTATAACACTGTTCACTGGGCCGAGTTGGATTTTGGTTTGAGTATACTTGCTCAATGGATACCCGCTCGCATCCATATGATAAAAATTTTCTGGACAAAAAGTTATTTCAACTGCAAAAGAAGGTTTCTTTAGTATGGACACCCTCATTCATTAGAGTTTATAATTTGACTTCAAGATCCTTTTAGTAACATATATTTTTTTTTTGGGAAAGAACCTTGAAAACATACTTTTGAATTTCAGCCATTCTCTGAAAGTCCACAATTATTGATTGATTTGACTCAATCATAAAAATTGGAATCCAAATTTTTTAGAATATGTGGATTTCAAAGTATCAAAGGTTGTCAACGCGGTTAAGCCTGTTGCCCGGTCAATTAGGTGGGTTGAGGGTTAATGGTCCAATCGTTTCACTAAAAACGTTAAAGTATCTAACGAAAATGGCTAGAATTTTTATACGACACAAATATTGTTTTTTTTAATTTACCACCAATATGGCAGATTAAAAATTATTGACACAGATATTGTGTTTTGGAGAAAAGAATCGGCGAGACAACCTGAAACTCAGGCGCTGTCGCTTTAGATTGTTTTTTGGACCGTTTAATTTATTTGACAGCGGCGGCGCCCAAGACTCAGGTGGTACCGCTGGCTTATTGCTGGCCACCCACCTTATAAAAAACGGGTTAATGACACAAATATTGTGTTTTTTTTAATTGCCACAAATATTGCGGATTAAAAAGAATTGACACAAATGTTGTGTTTTTAGTAAAGTTTGGGGCGGGACCACCAGAGACTCAGGCGGGGCTGCTGTTTTACCCAGTTCTGAGCGCTAGCGCCCCAGTCTCAAGCGGCCCCGCCTCACCTTTTTTTTTTTTTTACCCAGTCCTAGGCGGTGGCGCCCGAGTCTCCAGCGGCAGCGCCCGACCTTTGTTTTTTTAAATTGCCGAACCCTCGGGCCCCTCCCACCTTATCTCCTCTTCTTCTTCCTTCCTCTTCTTCCCTCGTCCACACCACACACACCCCCCACCCCCCGAACCAGAGAAGCCTACCAGCCGCCGCAAGCGGTGCCGCCAAGGACTTAGGCGCCGACGCCGCAAAGTCAGGCACCGCCGCTGCCGAGTGGAGCGCCGCCGCTGGAGAGTGAAGCGCCGCCGCTGCTGACAGAAGTGCCACCGCCCGAGATGTCCTCCGACGAAGAACCAGTCGCCGCCGGCAGAGGCAGGGGGAGAGGCCGGCGAGGTCGGCCGCTGTTTGCGTTGTGAGACTCTCGTCGGCGGTTTGATTTTTTTTAATGTTTTGTGTTTTTTTAATGTTTTGTTCTTTGTTTTTGCAGTTCCTAGGCTTATGGATCCTTATTCGATGAGATTACCGCCGACGACAATTGATCCAGATGTGGGAATCGCTCCCACGCCCAGAACTACAGTAGGGTGACCCATCCACCAAGGTCACTGCTAAGAGAAGTGCCGGTATGCGCAATGTGCAAAGTCGGCCTACCCATCTCACGATACAGGTAGGATAAAACAGCAGCTCCCCAGGCGAACCGTCCAGCTCTCCGCCAATCCTCAATCAGAAGTAGGTACTGTATGTGCACCATACCTCCAGACCGATCTGGGAAAAGTACACCTCCAATCAAAGATAGAGCATAAGCTCGTGCAAACTGCTCTATAACCTCCTGTGATGCATTTTCCGGCAGATGACTGAATTCAACCCTCAGCCAAACAATCCTAACAACAGCGACACCGCCTTCAAGATCAGTCGGAACCCGTCCTAACAGTCTCAAACAGATCGCCGACCACTCCTCATCCGGTATATCAACTACGACGGCATCACCGTCGATCGCCAGACCGGACAGTGTAACAACGTCCTCTAACTTGATCGTGATCTCACCACACGGTAGATGGAAGGTCGACGTCTCGGGTCGCCACCGCTCTACGAGCGCAGTAATCAAACTCGCATCGGAGTTCATAGGGACTAGGGGCACGACACTTAACAAGCCTGCCTCTTCGAGATATGGCCGATAAAGCTCATGGTAAGGTACTAAAATGGTCGTACCTCGAACATGGTAAGATCGATCACCAGCCTTTAGTGCACAAAACTTATATTAATTCATTTTCATTCGTAATAATTCTAATTTCACCTAATAAATTCTAATCTGTCTAATTTAATATAAAATTATACTAATTTCACCTAACAGTTCAGTTCACCAACTAAAATAATCTTATTAGTTAATTAACTTTACATGAATAATTATCAAATACTTACCTCGTTTGTCCAAACAAAGTCGATACGATGTTGGCCATGTCCCCAAAGAAGTGCCGGATCGACCGGACCTGGATCAATTGTCGTCGGCGGTAATCTTATCGAATAAGGATCCATAAGCGTAGGAACTGCAAAAACAAAGCAACAAAACATTAAAAAAACACAAAACATTAAAAAAAAATCAAGTCGCCGACGAGAGTCTCACCGCGCAAAAGGCCGCCGACTCCACCAAGACCTCGCCAGCCTCTCCCCCTGCCTCTGTCGGCGGCGACTGGTTCTTCGTCGGAGGACATCTCGGGCGGTGGCGCTTCTGTCAGCAGCGGCGGCGCTTCAATCGGCAGCGGCGGCGCTTCACTCTCCAGCGGCGGCGCTCCACTCGGCAGCGGCAGCGCCTGACTCTACGGCGGCAGCTGGTATGCTTCTCTGCTTCGGGGGGTTGGGGGTGTGGTGTGGAGGAGTGAAGAAGAGGAAGGAAGAAGAAGAGGAGATAAGGTGGAAGGGGCCCGAGGGTTCGGCAATTTAAAAAAAAAAACAAGGGTGGGGCGCTGCCGCTAGAGACTCGGGCGCCAGCGCCTAGGACTGGGTCAAAAAAATAGGTGAGGCGGGGCCGCTTGAGACTGGGGCGCCAGCTCCCAGAACTGGGTAAAACAGCAGCCCCGCCTAAGTCTCTGGTGGTCCCGCCCCAAACTTTACTAAAAAACACAATATTTGTGTCAATTCTTTTTAATCCGCAATATTTGTGGCAATTAAAAAAAACACAATATTTGTGTCATTAAATCTAGCAATAACTGATATTTCTCCAATATTTACTATTATTGTCACAAATGCAAAAATTTGACTATACAAATGTATTTTGCCTTTTCTTAATTATATGTATATTATTACACATGTATTGTTCACAAATACATCAATTAAACTATTATCAGACGACCCCTTTAAAACACAATTACATAAATATTGTATTTTAAAGACCAAATACACTTGTGTAGCAAAAACTTTAACAGTTTTGCCAAATATAACAAATTTTGGGAAATACCAAAAATAGCCACTTCCATCCAATTGTTTGACGGTGTTAGTTAATGTACTGATTAGACTAACAACAGCGGATGATGTGGCATATTTTATTCAAGAATAATATTAGGTGGAAAATAATCAAAAGTTTATCCTTTCATTTTAATCAAACTAAATAAGAAATAATAAAAACAAATAACACTTTCGTAATAGTAGAAACAAGAAAAAAATCCCTCTCTCCACCGAAAATCTCCCTCTGCCATCGCAATCTCCGAAAATCCCTCACCTTCATCGCAATCCTCATCGCAATTCCAACCCTAGAATCTCCCTCTGCCGGTGTTGGTCCTCTCCGAGGAGGAGGCGAATGTTGCGACAGCGGTTGTTCCCGGTGGTTCTGCTCGACGAAGAGCAAGAGATCCAAGATCTAGATCTTCTGAATACGATGAGCGATGACCTTTCATTATATCCAGACGAACGAACCCACTTTCTCTGTTGACAAACAAACTCATACAAATCGACGAACCCACCACCGCGAAACCCTTTTTTTAAGGACGACGTCAATGTTGCATATCGATTTTGTTGTGGGAAGATCTTCTAAAAGACGACGATGATGACTTCTCCAACGACTTCCAACTCTCGATTGGTGGTGAAACTTGGTGGCCAGATGTGAAGCACCCATTAAAATCGAGGGCCAAATCTACAATGAGCATATTTCCATCTCCAACCTCACTTCTATGTCGCTTCGTCTCCTTCACCGGCGTTGTTGTTGCCAAAATCGATTGGCTTGGATTCCTCTGTCCTTGGCGAAGACGATGGCGGCCCGGAATCTAATGGTACCGTGGAGAACCAGTTGTTCGTGAGACATGGTCGCGACGGTGGATTGGGGTTGCTCTCGGCGGGACTAGGGTTTTTGAATTGGGGATTTTCATAGAAGAGGGGATGAAGGTGGGAATAGGGGGGAAATTGTTATTCCCCCATCTATCTCCGTTTAGGGGTAAAGATTGAAGGATGGCGAGCAGTTCGGTGGAGACGCTGAAAATCCGATCCCACATCAGCGGTGTTGATGTTTGTGAGAATTTGGTAGTGGTAGTGATTGGGGTGGGCGACGAAGATGAAGGGAATAATTTAATTATTGTTTTTTTTAATGATTTTTCGTATAATGGTTTTTTGTTTATTTTTAAATTAAAATATGACATGGCATACATGTGGCAAGTGTTGGTGAGTTGTCGATGATTAGACTAACGGTGTTACTGACGCCGTCAAACTATGTAACGAAAATGGCTATAATTGTCATCCAACTTTCAGAATTCTTGCTATTTTCGGTATTTTCCCAAAATTGGCTATATTTGGCAAAACCGTCAAAGTTTTGGCTACACAAGTGTATTTGACCTATTTTAAATGAAAGTTGAGCTAAGTATGCATATGCATATATACCGAGCGAAATATGGAAAGTTTAGCACAACTCCACCACATGAAAGTTGAGCTAAATTTTACAAAGTTTCGTCCACATGTGGGTAATATTCGATGTTAATTAGAGGTGGTAAATGGTTTGGATCCATGGATTGGTGGATCCATGGATCAATATGTAAAATGTGAAAAGTTTAGGTACTAAATGTCATAATGAAAATTTTTAGGTACCAAAATGTAATTTTCCAATGATATTTTCATATAAAAATTAAATTTTAGGTACCAAAATGTAAAATATACAAATTATAGGTACCAAACTGTAATTTGCCATTCAATCGAATTGAATTTTGATCAAATGGATTGGATTTATTTAAATGAATTGGATTAGGTGGATATTTTTAATGCATTGGTCGATTGCAACCTCTAATGTTAACACATCCGTCTACAAATGACGTCAGAGCTACCATTATCTTTGACAAGGGAAACCTTCATAACTAACACTTGGTCATAGAAAGAGGCGGTACAAGTGGATTCGCGGGCTCATCCGACCTCCTCAAAATTTATTCTTATATACTTTGAAGGATAATATATATATACATACATATATGGTGGCTTCTATGGTACCACCCGGGGTACCGCATACCTCGAGTATGGAAACTCTATCTAGACCTCGAATTACCAGGATTTTTGTGTCTGATATTATACCCTAACCCTTAATGAGTGAAACGTAGGTCATAACTATCTAAATCATAATCTATAAACCCTAAGATGGTGCATTCCTTTTTGTGCATATATTTGGATGAATCATAACCGTCGATTATTGTTTCTAATTAAATTGGTCTTGGATTATAAGATTGGGAGAGTTAACACCTAGATTTTGATCTTTAAGTGTTAGAGTATAGTATCATGTCCGAAAGATAGGTCAATTAAAGGTCTAGATAGTGTTTGCATACTCAAGGTATGCGGTACCCCGGATTTCACCCAAGGTACCGTAGAACTCGCCATATATATATATATATATATATATATATACATACATACATACATATGGAGACGACTGGTATGCTCCAGGAGCATAGTATGCTCCAGATGATCTGACCGTTAGATTTACATGGATTAGCTCCGACCAATCTCAACGGTTAACTCTTTTTTCTCTTAAATTGAACTTTGGGTTTCGGATTAGAAAATCGGGGCTCGTGGTGTATCCATTTGAGGTTAGGGTATAGTATCATATCCCAAACTCGCTTTAATTCATGGTCTAGATAGAGATATCTCACTATGAGTACATGGAGCATAGTATGTAATTGTTTGTGGTCTAATAAAATTAACCATTAATTACAACAATCATTTGTTTTTAGAAAAATTTACTTGATTTGTGTACTTGTTTTATATACTTCTACATTGATTGCAACTTCAACACTGCATGATCGTCATTTTATAACACTTAGTAAAATTTTGGCACATTTAAGTTGTGTTCGAGTTGATTTATTTCAAAATGGGGGTTAAACTTGGCATGTTAAGTCATACGATTGCAATAACTCTTTCGGGTTGCGAGTTTGAAATTTTTTGTTAATTGGGTTGCAGGTCACTTTGGAATGGAAAATGAGAGGGGGTTTGGATGGGAACTTTGGAATGAAAAATTTATGGGCAGGTGAATATGAGCCAACAATTATACTAAACTTGATAAGTAATCTTTGACGATTAATTGTTTAGGGTATAGGGTATAAGCTACAAATGGTTTATGCTATAAAGTATATGGTTAGGGTATAGGGTATAAGCTACAAATGGTTTATGGTATAAAGTATACGGTTAGGCTATAGGGTACAAGGTACAGATGATTTAGGGTATAAGGTATTGATGGTTTTGACGAGTCTAAATTTTTTATTAACATATGTTCACTTGAAGTCATTTGAAGTCTTTAAGTTTAAAAGCAGGAGATTCCTTTTTAATTTATGTTTATGGTATGTAGTTAGGTTACGTGGTATATGGTATAGAGTATATGATATATGGTTAGGGTATAGCAAATATCACATTTTTATCTATGTTTTGAAAATCAAAGTATGAATTTCACTTTAAATTAACTATAGTAGCAAAATCACAAACTCATAAGGATATAAGGTTAGGGTATAGGGTATGTGGTTAGTGCATAATGTATTGATGGTTTAGGGTATACGATCAACAACATGTACTAACTTAATATTGTCGATTGAGGGTAAGGCTAAGTGTATATGATATATGTTATTGAGTAAGTTATGATTGAAATCACAACAATCTTACTACATTTGATAG